TTTTCTCATGGCAGCTTAAAAGCGAGACAACTCCTCATTCCAAGATCATACCTTATATAAAAAACATTGAGGCAGCATAACGGCACAATAGTCCCGCTCTGAACAGGCTGAGTAAGAGGGGCTAATATAAAACGCTTTATTCTACGAATGGCACGCCTTGAGCACACATATTCGCCTCAAGTTTTCTCCTAAAATATGACACTTTAGGCTTAATTTCTCCTTAGCTGTGGGACTTAACACTGTTGCACAGAATTCCTTAAAAGGTCTACTCATTTACTGCATTGAAAGAGATTTTACAGTGGTAAAAATTTCCATGGAGATCATTTGTTTACTTGAACTCACGCTTGTGACACCTGATATCATCTCACAAAGTTGGCTTATAATTAGATCGTGAAAAAATATATTATACTTCTGGAGTAAAGTTGATCCCCAAATACCAGAAAACCAAAAACAACTGTAGGAAGGAAATGCAGCGGAAATTAATTCAGTCAAAATCCAAAGTGTAAAACCAGAAGCAAATCTGTTGGGTTCTCCTGGTCGTAGAACACGTGAGACTCAAGATGTGTTTTTCCATTTATCACCATAAACTGAGTCATGTTGCAGTTAAGATGGAGTCAGAGGTACCTTAAGTTTTTTTTTTTACCTCATTTTGGTTGCTAGGGGGTCTGGGGATTCCTTAAGTATGACACAGAGACAGGGAGAAAACCATAAATACTGTGTGAACATTTTAGGGAAATCTTAAGGAGAAGACTTAAGAGTGTTTTGTGCAACCGAAGAAGGACTTAAAATAATAATAAAAAAAAATCTTAACTAAGGTGTTTTGTGCAACTGGCCCCTGGTCCCCAATGACTTCAGTTCCCTAAGGGCACATTCACACCAGACTCTGTTCGATTGGGCGGAGAATGCTGAAAAATTTCACACCTTCATTTGGTTCAGTTCACTTTCACACCGAACTATCCATGGTAGCGGACCAGGGTTCATTTAAAGCAGAACAAATAGCACCAGTGTGAGTGCGTCCTAAGTTTTCTTCATGAACTCAATCTGACACAGGGTGAGTAACCCATACACAAATGGTTGTAATTTCTGCTTCTTTATTAACGAAGAAAATACATTTGTGGGTTTGTTTTGCTGCTTGTGCAGCCATATTGCTGATGATTCCTCAGAACAGAGTGTGCCTCTGTAAAACCTTTGTTTGCCAGGCCTTATAGCTCGAGCACGCAAGAAAAACAAATTCACAAACGCAATGCAACACGTGGTGAGTAACTGATATACAAATGGTCATTTTGCAGGTGAAGTGCTTTAAGAGAGCAGGATTTCAACACACGTCTGACGGGAGTGTATTTGTTCACAGCACAGAGTGAGAGTGGCAGGTAACTGCAGATGATAAAAGACTTTACTCAGGAGAATATTTGAGCAGCTGAGCAATCGAAATACCACAATGGAGGGAGCCAGTTGCCTGAAGGCCACAGTCATTTCAAACATTCAACACTGCAATTTTGTATCTATTTTTGCACTCAGTATGCATGAGGAAAAACTACAATTATAATGTAGGAAAAGTTTTGCTGCTTCATTCATTTTTCTTTAGAAGGACTGTGGTCACACACACACACATATATCTAATGATGATATAGCACACTGGCAGCTCTTCTTAAGTAAGAATCGAACACAAGTCACGTCGAGGATGTACAGCTCTGCAGCCACGCTGTGCAAAGACATAAATACTATTCTCCCACCAGCCCATGACTCTTCAGTATGAATGAACAGCAGTGCTGGGCAGTGGGGGAACAACAGAGCCTCTCAGAGGCCATCTTGTTCTTGGCAAACTGCAGTCTGCTTGACAACAGGATTGCCGTCATTCCCCTTTTGCAGCCATGTATTTCTGTCTGCCACCTCCTATCAACACCACGTCCAGAGCTCACTTTGAACTCTGCAGGCCGAGTTCAGTTGTCTCTCAATATATGCGTCTGAATATGTTCTTTAAACAGACATCTTCTCTCCCTCCAGACTGAGCAGCGCAGGGACCCACTTCTATACAATTAAACTTGTGTCTGTCACATTCTATTAGCTCAAGACTCTGAGACGACATATGGTGCATTAGATTATGAAATGTCTGTCTCAGCAGTGCCAGAACCGTTACTGTTACGGCTACACAAGGATTTAGGACAGTGCGGTTATTCATCTGACCTTTTCTCACAGAATTAGTAAACCATTAGTTATATGACACTGCAAATTCATACTCCTCCACTGATCAGTGTCTGACTAGGGTGTTTATTCATTGAGGAGGCTCCACTTTGATATTCTCTCCCCCCACAGAATGGACAGGAAACTCGCTCTGATATAGCGGCTTCCTTATTGCTTCCTATTTGCCTTCTGAATGACTCCAGCAGCAGCTCGGAGAGTAAACACGGAAAAAGCACTTTAACAGCGAGGATCGAAAAGTTTGCTCAAAACAGCTGCTGATCTTTAAAAGGGATTAACTTCTCTGTAAAGTAATTTCAATGCAAAGGGAACACAGCAGTGATGATTTTTGGCTTCAGATTTATTCATGTTCAGTATTAAGCTTTTGACAGCGTAATTGTCCTCGCACTGTGTGCTACTGTGTTGCTTTAAAACATGTTTTTTAGTCACCGTGGTTGCAGTGATGACAGCAGAGCAAGAAAATACGCATCTTAGTATACATTAATAGAGAAAGCCGAGTTATACTGGACTTAAATAAGGCTGCAGCTAATCGCTGATTAAGCTGATGATTATTTTCAGATTCATCGATGCATCATTAAGTCTATAAAATGTTATGAAGATATGAAAAACGCTCATCACAATTTCCCCGAACCCAAAGTGAGGTCTTTAAATTGCTCCTTTTGTCCAACCAACTGTCCAAAACCTGAAGACTCTTCATTTACTGTCAAACATGACAAAGAAAAGCAGAATTCTCGCATATAGGAAGCTGGAACCAGCAGATGTTTGACGCTTGAAAAATGGCTGAAACAATAAATTTATTATCAAAATAGTTGCAATTAATTTTCTTTCAATTGACTGATCTATTAATACTTGCAGCTCTAGACTAGCAAGAGGCTTTAAAATGTTGTTAGTGTGACTGGGCCACTGCAAAGTCCCTTCTTAATGCCTCCTTTGCATTTTTACACCGCACCAAATGACCGTGGCATCATTCTGCTCCAGTGTGTGATTTTAAAGAGCCTCCCAGTGTCAAGAGAAGCGTTTGACAACCAGTTTGCCATCTACTGTGCAGCCCTAATCCTCAGCACAATAATTCAAAACAAAGCGTTTGTTTCGACTGAACATAAAAGACTGGTTAATAATAGAGGTAGGAGGGAAAAAAAATAATAAAAAAATCGAGCATAGTATGGGGATATTTTTGAAGCAATATTGTATCAATGTACACACGCCAAGTATCGTTTTTTTATTTATTTAAATTGTAAATATTACTGAGACAAATTTAACTTTTTCGTAGTCTTCGAGAATTATTCATTTAATTGCTTTTTCAGTCCGCTAGAATCATTTTGACTGACGTGAGACGAACACAGTGAAAACTTTATCTTGTTCAAAGTTAAGTATTTAAGATTTAGTCGGATGAAGTGGTGCCTAGAAGTGAAGTTTGCAGACTGCAACCAGCTGAAATTTCTCCTGGTTAGAATTCATTGCTCAGGAGGTTTTTTACCAGGAGCTGAATTATCCGCAGAGATCTCCTGCTCTCCAAAACAAACACACCAGCTGATAAAAAACACTGAATAAAGCAGTCCCTAATTACAAATCGGTTTTTCCTGATGCTGTTTGGCATATCGAAAACAGGTGGCAAGCCCAGCACATGCTAATGTGTGCTCACCTTTTTTCTTTGACAACTTAACATCAAGATGTTCAGGAGGTTTTTACCAGGAGCCGAATTATCCACAGAGGTGTTTTCCTCTCCAAAACAAACAGACCAGGTAATTTAAATTGGTAAAAACGCTGAATAAAGCAGTTTCACGTAAAAATGTGTGTTTTTTCTATGCTATTTGGCAAGTTGGGAGACTGGCAGCTCCCTGACCACATGCTCACCTTCTTGCTTGGATAACTTAACATCCAGAAATTCAGGAGGTTTTTACTGGGAGCTGAATTATCCACAGAGGTCTTTTCCTCTCCAAAACAAACAGACCAGCTGATTAAACCAGTAAAAACACTGAATAAAGCTGTTTCGTGTTACATATCAGTGTTTCTCTGATGCTGCTCATTGCAGTCGGGCTTCTTACTATGGTGGTCGACGCGAAAACGCGAATGTCCCCATCTGGAGCCAGTGTTTGATTTGTCCATTCTGGGCTACTGTAGAAACATGGTGGTGCAACATGGGGATCTCAGTAGATGAGGACCTGCTCCCTCATTCTAAGGTCACAAAAACACTACAGTTCTTATTTTCAGGTGATTTTACACTAAAGAAAACATACTTCTTTATATTATATTCCATTTTGGCTAATATATCCCCCTAAATATTACACACTGGAGCTTTTAGGTAAACCAATGTTGAAAAATTTTTCCTTTGGGGACACAATTTGCAGTCACAAAAAGGTAATAAATCACAATATGTCACCAAAATACTCAGCAAAATGTTCAAATTGCAATAGTATTGTATCATGACTTAAGTATCATGATAACATCATATCATGGGCCCTCTGGTGATTCCCACCCTTAGTAAATAACTCAGTTTACCTCCTTGTTGGCTGCAGCTTAGGAACAGAACACACTAAACTACTGCTTTTGCTTTAATCACAAATCACAGCCAATAAACTAAAAAAGTGCCCTGGTGAGTTCCACTAAGTTACCCGAATAAGACGCCTTAAGGAGGAAGGGATTTCCGCACCAAAGCCATGTGGCAGCTGTCACCAGCCCAAGCCTCACGCACCCTGACTCCGAGGTAAGAAGCAGCCTGCTGCGTATCAAACTGCAGACTTATCACAGTGTAAATAAAAGAGGATGTAGGAGACACAATGAGGCCGCGAGGAGAAACTCACGTCAATATCAAAGAACTCCTGGGAGTCGTCCAGCCCCTGCACACGGATCTGTACTCCTCCTCGACCGTGGCTTCTGCTCCCGCCGACCATGTTGCCACTGAGGCTCTGGCCCGGCTCCAAGGTGCTGATTCCGGGGTTGAACTGGGCTCCCAGCCTTATGCCAGGGGTCTGCAGGACCCGGTATGAACCCTCAATCTCCCCCATGACTGCTCAGAGCAGCTCCCCCACCTCACTCCTGCAAAGACAGAGACGACTGCATTAAGGCTGGGGAAAATGCAAAACATGATGAAGAGGTTAAGGGACTGTTCTTTATTAATCAGTGGAGGGGGTAGCTGAGGTGTGACTTCATTTTCTTTGTTAGTTCTGTTTTGTGTATGACCCTCCCTAAAGCCATGAATATGCTTCCCTAAGTGACTTGGGGAAAATGCATGACCCTCCCTCCACCACTGATTAGTACCCTTTGTTGTTTAAAAGTTAAAAGACGAAATCCTGGAGTTGAAAAAAGCCTTGGTTATTCACTCTTGTTGTTCATGCTGGTAAATTCATGCAAATGGTTTATTTTGGCCAAATTTTTTAGACATTTTTTAAGTAGATCCCATACTACCACTCTCTCCAACCTAATCTTAACCACCTCTCTTTTGACGTGATACTTCATACCTGGCTGATCGCTGATTTAGCATTTTCGTCGGAACTTCCGCTTCCAGGTCAAAGAGCAAAGGGGGCTGATTGTGAACTAACACTACATCCAAATGTCACCCTCTGGACTTGTGGACTGAGCCCTGGCAGACTCCAGTTGTACGTAGTGTGACGCATTTACCAGTCCCTCCAGAAAATCGCGATTGTAAAAATTAACGCAAATTCAACGAAAGTCCGCAATATTTGCGGGGGCTTGCAATTTTTCAGAAGTCCCACAATTATTCCGCATTTTCCGGCTGACCGGAAGTCATGTGACGTCATTTGAAACTTCATCAAATCGTGCTAATGACACTGCAGTATGGAGAAACGCTCTCACCTGCCGACAAAAATAACCGCCCAAGACCCTATGTGTACAGATGATGTAGCTTACATGTTGTTTTACCGTCACATTGTCTGATCTGAGGACTACAATATTAACTCAGGATTTTTTTTGCAACATTATTCGAGTCCATGTTTTGAAACTAATTAAATAAAACTGACTTTTTTGGAGGCAGTAGTTTAAAAAAAATCTCTTTATTTCTACTGAGTTTGCAATTTCCCAAAAAAAAAAAAAAAATCATAAAAATGCTACAAAATTGGCCACAAATTCAAGGATTTTGGGCCGTGAGATGCTGGAGGGACTGATTTACTGTCATCACATAAAGTCTGCCAGAGCAGAGACTGCAAGCGTATTCATATAAACGTCGTATAAGTTGATGAACAGTGCTGAACTCATCTGTCCCTGTAGATAACACGATATAAATCCCATGTACAGCCTTTTGTTGAGACTGAACAAAAATGTATCAATACATCATGTGTTCAAAAACAGAAATGCTTGTAAATAAGAACAGGACTATAACTCCATAAATTGAGTATTACTGACATTAAAAACCTTTTGTTGTTTTTCGGACAATTTCGATAGGCCGCAACAACAATTGCATTTTCATTCCCTCTACAGCCTGTACTTGTACATATTTTGAATATCATTTCTGGTTGACACAATTCTGGTAGCAATCTAATAGGACTAACTATCAATAACTACTTTACACATTCAGAAGGGTTTTTTTGGCAGTTGAAAAAACACCAACGTCACGTCCGTATTGCTGATGTGTGCAGCCCAAGTGGACTCTCTGGAAGTCTGCAGAAAGTCCACTTGAGGCGGACTTGTGATCTTAGGCTTTATATTTAAAATCTAACTGAAGCACACAGCACTCCTGGACTTCCCAGGAATGTGCCCCCAAAGTCTGTGAGTCTGCAGATGCAGTGAAGTGTGGACATTTGGATTCTGTTGTGTAGCTAGAGGACAGGTAACGTAGCTGATACCTACCCGGTAATTCAGGCAATTTCTAAAGAAAACAGCCTTCCAATTGTGTTCCCTTTAAAAACTGGCAGTTAAATAAACACAAAATACAGCCATTTTAAGTTGTATGCCCCTCCCGTACCCTAAAACAAAAAACACACAGCGCCACTAGCCTCCCGTTTCTGCACCACCCCCTCCCTCTCATAAGTAACGAACAGTCCCTAAAGTCTTCACATATTGTCATGCAGGTTGACATCAGGGTTTGTTTTATTCATTTATAACACATGTTAACACACAGAGAGGACACACATGAGACCAATCTCCCCCTGAGCTGTCTTTGTTAACACTTTAAGTTACACTCTGCTTGAAAAACGACCTAAAAAGTCCCAAAAGAAGAGACGGCGGACTGATTTCACGTTTATTGGCGTCTCGCGCTGCGTGTGGGCCTAAAGTGGGTCAGCAGGACTTCGCCGCTTCAAGCGAGTGAACACAACGGAGAGACATTCACAAACCACACTGAGCTCTAAACTAAATGTTTGCGGTGCTCCTCTCTTTCAGAAATGGAGCTCAGTGGAGTTCACCGAGCAGCAGCAACGCACAGATTCTCTGCACCGAGTTTTGTCTCCGGAAAAAGTCGCCAAACTCGAGTGCGTAAAAGTAATAATAAGCTCATAAAGCAGCTTTAAACTTACCGTGTTTGCCCGGATCGAAACTAAAAGTTTGTTCCACCGAAAAGGACACTACTACTCCAGTCCATGGTCGTCGTCTTCCAGCGGAGTGCGTACTCAGACTACTTTGTCATTGGTCTAAAGCAGCAGCCCCATGCGTCCTGCCATTGGCTCAACCGTGTGTGAGGAGGATTGTAGGCTGAGGAAGATTTACCTTCATTTACTTTAAATAGCTTGATGGATGCAGAATAAACGTGTCCGCCTGCAGTAATTACAGGTTGTGGATTTTTTTTTTTAACCCAGGCAGCGTGGAAAGTTTTAATAGCGTATTTGCTACGTGTGTTGAATCCACAGGCCGATGGTTGTCAACACCCCGAGGAAATTATCTCATTATCTGAAAATTATCTCCCATAAAGCGAAACAGACTTTATCTAAGTTTGGGCTAAAGTTTGACCCGTAGATAAAAACAAAATAGAAGTAGGTTTCCTTTGTAAACCTCCAAGTGATACTAAATCAAGTCACAGATTTCTCTCGAGCACATTAGGTAACATTTTGTGTGTGTGTGTGTGTGTGTGTGTGTGTGTGTGTGTGTGTG